TATGTTTTATTTAGCAACAAGTTGTTGCTAAGTTGATTAGTGCCTCACTAAGTTGCTAGGGCTGGCTTTGAACTTGCAATCCTCCTGCCTCGGCCTCCTGAACCACAGGATTACAGTCATGCACCACCATGCCCAGCCAGCTCACAGAATTTCTAAACAAGGCATAAGATGGGTTGCCACACAATCAGAATACAGGAAAAACCACCAACCACAGTACCAAACAGTTCCAGTGGAAACCTAGAAGCTTCCAGGGCCTGCTGTTGGACTGCCACACCCACAGAAGACAGAGGCTGGCCCACAAGTTTTGCTTTGTATTCTGGAGAAAAAAAAATAGCCTCACAGTCACTTTGGTAGATTGTAGAATCTTAGGATCTTTACTTTCATCTTCTGCAAGGATGTACCTGCTCAGTGGAAATGGTTATCTGTGTGCTTCTAAGTAGCAGGGGATTTTGGGAAATGACAGTTTTTGGATTCTTCCTGGGAACATGAGAATCATAGTATAGAGAAATCTTAAAATGGGAAATGATTCTCAAAATGTTTGGGGCAGCTATAAAAAATGTCCGTTACAGGCATTAAAAATGACTCTAAATGAGGATGCACTCATGAGTAGGGAAGGACAACACTGAGATTGAAGTTTTTGTCAAATGAATTTAGGAAATTAAAACTGTCAAAATTCCAAAGTGGTTATATGTATGTGACTAGACAGCCTAGTTCTAAAGTTTATGTAGAAGGGAAAAGGACAAAGAATAGCTAGAAAATTCTGAATATCATTTGTGCTCCCAGATGTTACAGATCATGTTCATAGAAAACTGAACAAATAAAAAATAAAATAAAACCAAAGTAACAAATACCAGAATACCCAATAAACAAAATAAAACAAAAAAGCTCAAGTTGCAAAAAACCCACATATACTGTAATATATGATTTGTAGGAAATTTAAAAAATCTATTACAACTCCATCCATTTACCTGCAAATGCCATGATTTTATTCTCTTTTAATGCTGAATAGTATTCCATTGTGTATATATACCACATTATTTTTATCCATTCATCAACTGAAGGGCATCTAGGTTGGTTCCACAGTTTAGGTTTGTGAATTGTGCTGCTATAAACATTGATGTGGCTGTGTCCCTGTAGAATGCTATTTTGAAGTCCTTTGGGTATAGACTGAGGAGAGGGATAGCTGGGCCAAATGGTGATTCTATTCCCAGTTTTCCAAGGAATCTCCAAACTGCTCTTTATATTGTCTGTACCAATTTGCAGTCCCACCAGCAATGTATGAGTGTGCCTTTCCCCCCACATCCTTGCCAACAATTATTGTTGTTTGTATTCTTAATAGCTGCCACTCTGTCTGGAGTGAGATGAAATCTTAGAGTAGTTTTGATTTGCATTTCTCTAATTGCTAGAGATGTTGACCATTTTTTCATATATGTATTGGTTAAATGGAATAGTATTTAGCACTAAAAGAGAATAAAATTGTGGCATTTACAGGTAAATTGAAGTTACTCAATCCCAAAAAACCAAATGCTTTCTCTGATATAAGGATGTTTTCTCTGATACAAGATGCTGATTCATTATCACCAACTAACTGGGCTGGCGACCTATGCTGGGTTCCCAAAAGCTGGTTGCACCAGTAAGTTACGAAAACGGTGAAGAAAACACATAAGAACACAGAAATGCCTTTTCAAAATCCGGGACAGCTCTCAACCTTAGGGGTCCATTGGAAAAGAGAGAGAGCCACCTGAATTCTTTATTCTTATACAAGGGGAACACACAAATGAAGGTTTGATGGACTGTTCTTGCCAAATAAAGCAAAGGGTCAGGTTTCAGGGGGTGGAGTCTTGCTTGTGATGTCTTGTGGTCAGTAGATTGATTGACACACCCATCTCAGGTGCTGTGTGGGATCAAAAGGCAGAGGGGGCGAAAAGGACACAGATGTGCACAGCCCAGACAGAGCAGCAACGTCAGTCCAGTCCATTAAGCGCTTAAAATGCTCACAGTTCACACACACAGCCTATGGCTGGCCCGCAACAATTCAAAATGGGGTTGGCGGGAACAAGGGAGGATTAGATGAACTTTAGATAGAGTAAAGGGGAGGGAGGGGAAAGGAGAGGGCATGGGGTAGGAAAGACGGTGGAACGAGACAGACATCATTACCTGAGTACATGCATGAAGACACAAATGGTGTGACTCCACTTTGTGTACAACCAGGGATATGAAAAATTGTGCTCTATATGTGTAATATGAATTGTAACGCATTCTGCTGTCATATATAACAAATTAGAACACAAAAGATGAGTATAATTTTAAAAAATCTATAACAATGTACTACGTAGAAATATACATTTTATGTAAAGTTACAGAGAAAGTTTAGAGGGATCGAGTATTAGTGGCACAGGCAAAAAAAAAAAAAAAAAAAAAAATACGAGGTCTTTCTGCCTCTTATCTCCTTTGTTCTTCTGCCTCTTTCTGTCAACCTCTCCCAAATCCCAGGAAGTTGTCCCAAGAGCTGCCCGTTGTCCAGCACTCATATTTACCACCTATTTCTTGTCTGAAAATAGGTCATTTGTTTCTAAAATACCTCATATTACTCTAATAAGTACTACAAAGTGTGGTTTCTTAATGTGCCTACAAAGTAGATTAGTATTAATAATTTACTTCATGGTTGTCCAGAAAGAAGTTATAAACATTGCTTTAATATAAAAATCATATTTTAGGGGTGGGGGGAGCTCAGTGGTAGAGCACTTGCCTAGCATAGCAAGTGCAAGGCTCTGGGTTTAATCCCCAGCAATGCAAATATAAATAAATGAATTTTTAAAATTGCATTATTTTAAAAGCCAGATGACTAAACAGATTGCCTAAAGGAGACATTTTGGCAATTTTGTTAAATAAAGCCTGATTGGAAGATGGCTCATCTTCCACTAAAATGAGTCAATAATCAATGTTTTATTATTTCCACTGTCTACTTACTAGTTGCAAGGTATTTATGGTGTTATAGGAAATTTCAATTGGCCCCCAAATTTCTTTCTATTCCATTTTGCTACTTCCATAAGGACACCTTACATTTTTTTTTTTTCCACTAGAGATTCAATCCAGGGTTTTCCCATTGAGGTATAGCCCCAGCCCTTTTCATGTTTTATTTTGACACAGGGTCTTGCTAGGTTGCTTAGAACCTCACTAAATTGCTGAGGCTGGCCTCAAACTTGTGATCTGCTGCCTCAGCCTCCCTAGTTGCTGGGCTAACACCTAGGATTTTAATAATAAAAATACAAACTTTGCTGGTGTCCTTTCCTATTTGATATTTCAGCACAGGGCATTGCAAGTTTTTTTTTTTTTTTTAATTTTTTTTCCTTCCTGATATAAAAATCTCAGATTTGTATAAAAAAGATACGAGACTTCAGAGATAGTAAATAACCTTATTTGTGTTTTCAGTGGTTGAGAACAGAGCTAGAGTATTTAATTGCCCACTCTCAACTCTAATGTTATCAGTCTCAAGGATAGCAGGAGTTTTCAGTGTATCAAGAAATGAATTAAATAAGCAAGTTTTTGTTGTTGTTGTTGTGCTTGCTATTATTTTGCAGGCAACATTAGCACTTTAGTTGTAATTTGTTCTGTTTTTTTTTTTAATTTTTCTTTTGCAATTGTAGATGGACAGAATGTCTTTGTTTGTTTATTTTTATGTGGTGCTAAGGATCAAACCCAGTGCCTCACATAGGCTATGCAAGCGCTCTGCCACTGAGCTACAGCAGATCTGTAATTTGTTCTTAAGTGACTACCAGCAAATTGGTTAATTATGGAAGGAGTGATATCCATTAAATTGTAAGAGTATAAATTAGTATTAAATATAGAGGTAGCAGAAAACTGAAGCCAAATTGTGCCTGTTTCTGAGAAGGGAGGTTCTCTATACAGCTGCTGTGTTTGGAGGCAGCATTATTTTCTTGTACTCCTTGGTTCTCTCATGTTCCATAAACAAGGTACTTAATTGTTTTACAAACAACTTAGAAGAGATAGTACACCATTTGCATAGATTGTCCATTTTTAACCTTTTAATTATGTAAAGTGACTTTTAAATTTAAATCAAAATAGTTTTCTAATTAGAAAAGGAATACATGCTGAGAGCAAAAGACTTACCTAGAAAAATATCTATGCCTGACTTTATCATTTAACACTTTGGTGAACATACCCATGTACACACTAATACAAATACATACACAGACACACATACATGAAATATCCTCTTACAAATTCTCTCTTTTTTTCATTTAGTAGAATATCATGCACATGTCCCAGGCAGCAGGTCATCTCTGATATGTTAAATAGCTGGAGGGTGTTAAATAGTATTACATAGTAGGGATTTATGTCCTTCATGTAATCAGTCTGTCTCTTATTATTGAGCACAATATTTCAATTTTGAAACTCTTAATACTTTGATGAATACCTTATGTATACATAAATGATGCATTCATGATTTTTAAAGTTTGTAAATTTTTTATAGTTTAATATATTTTAATAACTAACATACAGGAACAGCACAGAAGAGAGACAACATTAAAAACATGTACTTGCATGTAGGACAACTCAGAAAAGCATAGTGAATGGATGGAATCTACTCTATGATAAAAGTGCTACAAACAATCTTAGTGGCTGTCAATAAGAAATTTACTTGTTTTAAAAAATCCAAATGCTGACATTGTCCAGAAAAATTTAACAATTTTATTTATAATTGTTATAAAGTTGAACTGCTGAAACTTGTTCACTGAAACATTTTGATTTGCATTAATGCTTTACATCCCTGCATTTATATTAAAAATTCACACACAAATGAAAATGGTAAAACAGCCAATACCTCATTTCTGTCCTCTATTTTTCCACTTGCAATCATATACTTAGGTTCCTTTTGACCCCTTGGGGGGGGGAATCTAACGTTCAGAACTACCAATAATAGGAAGAATATAATTTTTTTTTTTTGAGAATGAAATGTTTCCCATCATAGTGAATTCTTAAGAAAGTTCTCCACAGATGAGGTGGCGTGCTAATTGAATGTCTTTTGGCACAATTGTTACACGTTTTGCATGGAGAGCACACAGGTTGGTGTCTTCAAAATGGCCAACCAGATAGGCCTCACTTGCCTCCTGCAAAGCACCAATAGCTGCGCTCTGGAAGCACAGATCTGTTTTGAAGTATTGAGCAATACTTGCACCAGGTGCTGGAAGGGGAGTTTGTGAATCAAGTTCAGTGGACTTCTGATAACCTCTAATGAGTGCCACAGTACCAGGCCTGTAAGGATGAGGTTTCTTCACCCCGCCAGTAGAGGGCGCACTCTTGTGAGCAGCTCTTGTAGCCAGTTTTCTGGGTGCTTTACCAGCCATGGTAGAAAGACCTCCTTGCTTACTCCCCTTCTCCTTTGGCTGGAGCTCAGCGAGCTAGAGGTGGTGCGGTGGCTGTGAACACCTAGTTTGTAAATTTTTTAAAATAAAAAAAGAAGTATATTCAATAACCTCAAAGTCCCTTTTGTTCTCTTTCCTGTTAGCCTCTATTATTTTTCCAGAGTTAGTTTATAAGTTATATAATACTGCTTTGTACATTTAGACAAGTTAATAGATGCTATTGAACCAGGGATACTAGAGATGATTATGCCATGAACAACTATGTACAATGATTCTGTATTTGTCCCTGTGTATCATTTATCACTTCCAGATAGAGCTTTGACATTACCCAGAATGGGTTTGAACTCCTGATATTAAACAACCGTCCCACCTTGGCCTTCTGAGAAGCTCAGACTACAGTTGTTCAACATCACATCCAGCTTCGATTGGTTTTTCTCTTTCTAGTGACATTAATGCTGGAGATACAGTATTAGAGAATATGGTTCAGCAGAAGGAGGGAACATACCAAAAAAAAAAAAAAAAAAAAGAAAGATTTGGTGTCCAGGAAATGGAAAAGCCAATATTTATAGACTAGTGAAGGGAAAGAAGGATAGCTGTGTACTTGTCCTAAACAATAACCAATTCAAATTGGAGCAGGATGATGGAAACTGGAGAAAGAAAAGGACAAAACATTTTGAATTCCAGCACATCATTATACAGTGCCAGGGTACCAAGATCAAGAAACTAGACCAAGAATTTCTGGGGTGGATGGGATAGGGAACAGGTCACACATCAAGGAACTGGAATCACAACAGCACCAGACTTCTCAACAGCAATGTGGGATGCTGAAAGATAGTGGAGCAGTGCCTTCAAAATTCTGAAGAAAACGACTTTCAATCTAAAATTCCATCCCTACTCAGACTATTCTATTAATGCCATGTGCTGAGTTGTTGCATCTCATGACTAAACCTGTCAGGGTCACTCCAAGTGAATTTGGGAAATAAATAAAGACACAGAAAGTACCTTTTCTTTGAGTTCAGTGACCGCTCCTCAGCTGCAGCTTCCACAAGGGTGTGTGTGTGGGGGGAAGGCAGGCAAGAAAAAGAGTGAGGAGCATGTGCTGAATCCTTTAATCGGAGAGAAGCCTTTCAAATAGGCAAGGGGTAGGTAGGATGACAAAGGACTATGTGAGTGTAACTTAACTCCAGTGGGGTGACGCCTACAGCTGGAACCACGCCTTATTATTCAAGTTGGGGTAACACCCAGGTTACTGCGACCTGGCACTGCCATGCCTGGCTGAAGATAATAATTGGTAGATTATTTATAGACTTAAAGGCATCTGCATCCAGGGCAGCTCCTGACACTCAGTGATAAATGTTCTAGAACTGCTAGAATTGTAGAATCATCATTTTGCAACTATTAGATGAAGATTTGTATAGGTGAGAATCAAGTGGATATTCAATCTAAGCAGAAATTGAACAAAGAGCAGAATATTTGCACTGTCTTAAATATCTACTCATGGAAATATTTTTTTTTTTTTTGCAAGAGAAAGCTCAGTTACTATCTAGAAATCTATCTAGTCAAACCTTGACTGATGACTAAAATTCACACCATCAATGAAGGGCAAATGGAAATTGCTTCTTCCATCATGATAACCTGAGGAAGCGCATCACTTCTGAGTATTCTAGCCAGAGATGAGCTATCTGAATCTAACCACAAGGATGCACCCATTGTGGGGGGCCGCACTGTCCATGAACTAAGCATCCCCTCTCAGCCTTGAGTAAAGCAAGTGGCCTTCACCTTCAAAGAAGTTTGCTTCAACTCTGGACTTGGGCATTACCTGATGGAATTGAACAACCCCCTTTTGCTTTTTTTCTATCATTTGTGATGTATATGATAGAAATATATATATATATATATATATATATATATAAATTTATATATATATATATTACACACACACTTAGATATGCAAAATTACTTGACCAATATGCACCCTAAGTATTCATAGCTACATCTAGGTGAAGAACTTTGATTTTCTTTCCTTCTCCTCACCTCTCCTCTTCTGTCTCCTTCATTCTCCTCCCCTCCTCTCTCTTCTTCTTTCTTATGGATTTTATTTTTTAAAAGTATTTCCAAAAGAAAATATAAGGCACAGTGTGATCAGGTCTCCACTTCTCTGCACCTCCCCTCTGCCTCACTGGCTGGCTCCCCTCAACTCACTAGAAGTCTGCATCAGCACAAATGCCACATACAGACGTGACAATACCTAAAGTCCACTTCATTAAGAAGTGTGTCTTCTGTAAGCAAAAGACCTACTCCTTGAAGCCCCTCACAAGCCCTCCTTTGGGTGCTACTGGGCACAACTTCAGCACACTGCCACACCCTAGCTGATCAGAAAGGGCTGTAGAACCATTGACTTGAAATGAGACATGTTTACCCCCTGAAGATGTCTCTTGCTGTGCATGACTATTGGCAGAAGGGAATGAGAACAAAACCCAGGTAGAAGGAAGAACCGGGGACACTGACTGTAGCTGCCACATAGGTTTGTGCTGCTCTTCACAGAGGGAGTTATTCATTTTAGATAGAATCTGTTGAGCTCCTGCGATGGTTAAGGATTTTTGCTTTTTGGCAGTTCCACCCACTCTACTATTCTCCCAATATTTATTATAACTTATTATATCATAAGGTTCGATCATAACAAAATACAGCATTTACATGGTCATGACTGTGTGAATACTATTTTCTAAGCTAAGTTATAAGTTATGGTTTCATTTTCTTTCTTTCGTAGTTGCCTGGAGATTTGTTTTAACTTGTTTTATTCTTTATGACCGCTTTCTTCCACCGCCCTGTGAGACAACAGTATGTCTTGTTTCATGCACTCACACACCCCGAGCAATCCATCAGGGTTTTGTTGTTGTTGTTTTCCTTGAGGAGCTTATCCTTCCACTGTAATCTGGACTGGTTTCTGCCTAACCCCGGGATACAATTGCTTTCTAAAAGGAGACATCCTCCTCCTGTGCTGGGTGGTCTCCAGATTCTGGATCTCCTGGACTGTTTTTCTTGGTTATTTCCTTTGTTTTTCGGAAGCATGCCCACTCTTATATTCTTGTACATTTAAATTATTTAGTTCCTGAATACCTAAAATACCGCGATGTTGCTTTTTTAATGTGGAAGTAATTTATACTTTATAGAAGAGTTGTAGGAATAGAAATAGCCGTCAGGAGCCATGATGCACGCCTGTAATCCCAGCGGCTTGGAAGACTTAGTGGGAGGATCACAAGTTCAAAGCCAGCCTCAGCAACTCAGTGAGACCCTGTCTCTAAATAAAATACAAAATAGGGCTGGGGGGTGTGCCTCAGTGGTTGAGTGCCCTTGAGTTCAATCTCTGGTACTCTGCCCCCCCCCCCAAAAAAAAGAATAGAAAGAGCATATAGCCTAATTCACTTGTTAACATTTTGAACTATTCTAACATCTGCTTTTTCTTCCTCTCTTTCTGTCTCTTTCTCACTCTCTCAGAGATGAACAGATGATAGTGTTAGATTTTTTTCTAAAATATTTAAGAGTTACTTGCTGCATCATGGCCCTTTAGCCATAAGTAGTTCAATGTATATATTTTCATAGAATATTCATTTTTAGTTAAAATGTTTATTTTATACTTGTTTATTTTAAAGATTTAACTTATATGAATTAAACATTTGAAAAAAAAAACAAAAGTAATATATAGACACAATAGATCGCTATCAAAATGCTAAATTTGATAGAATGTTCTAAAAAAAAAAAATCTCTCACATGGCCAACGATCCCCTCACCAGCATTTATTAGTATCTACTCTATGCCAAGTGCAATCCTAGGAAGTAGAGACTTCAAGATTAATAGCTAAACTGCCAAAGATAATGTAGGTTTCACCAAACATTATTAGAACGTAGTAGAAGGAATGATTTGCATGAAGCAAAATCTGAAACTCTTCTAGAAGTGACAGGATTTGATGTAGGCCATGGACTTAATTTAGAACAAAGGAGTTTGTTAGATGGAAAAGCAAATGGGATATATGTGATATATATTTGTATGTATATACAAACAATTTTTAAAAACACGAATGGGGCTCATTCTATTGACCAGGGCTCTTTAAGCTTGAATGCGCTTAAGAGTTGTCTGAATGGCTTCTTAAACACAGATAACTAGGTCTCATTCACAGAATTCCCACACTGCAGGAAGTATAACTCAGTCTTCCCAAGGACTAGAAGATGTGCCCCTGCAGTCCTGCCACCTCAGCCCCTCTGAACACCATGACGCACATCCCCCTTTCTCCCTTTCTCTCCCCACTATGAGGCAATGACCTTTCCAAATTCTAGATCCTTCTCCTCAGAGAAGCATGAAGACTGTATTGCATCCTCTCCCCAGTCTAGTTATTTTCTCAATAAACTTATCCTTTTAACAGCAAATGTCTGTGTTGGGGGATTGTTTTTGTCCGTAGATTCTGAGTTGATGTTTATCTTTTTATAAACACAAATACTTATTAAATGCTCCTGTGGAGGGGAAAAAAAAATCTAGATTTTCAGTGTTTGAGAGATATCTGTCTATCCTCTAGGGAGAGAACAAAAATAACTCTCATTTGATGATTGACAGAATCAAAGATAAGAAAACAAACCGTAAGCCACTTTTTGTTTTTTAAACCTCCCTGCAGCCCACGATATGCCAGATGCTATAGTAATCACTGGTACAACCCAACAGACGATCCTCTTTGTGATGTTTTCTGCCTCACCCTTGACTGATTTACTGTGTTCTTTGCAACATATTTCCCCTCCCAAATGACTACTAATGCTAATTCTGTTTGATTTTCTTCCCACCTCAAAATGGTGGAGATAATGAAAACAGGCTGGCAGAGACTTCCAGGGAACTTAGCAGACCTGAATCTAAAATGATAACTGTGCCTTAGAGACAAACCTATTCTAAAATGAAGTGCTATGTATGTACGGTTTGGATATGGTTTCAGCGTGTCC